GAGGGGCATGTGATTTGAAATCATAGTTCGAAAGGAGGTATTTATATGACGGCTAGGCCAATTCTACGTACTAAAAGTCAAGATTGAAAGTTATGCAAATGAGTGGAGACACTGAGAAGCCAGTGGGAGTGCTCTCCAAGAACTCAAAACATTCGAGAGATTGAAAAAATATTGAAAATTGTCGATTTGGCAGAGGGGCATGTGATTTGAAATCATAGTTCGAAAGGAGGTATTTATATGACGGCTAGGCCAATTCTACGTACTAAAAGTCAAGATTGAAAGTTATGCAAATGAGTGGAGACACTGAGAAGACAGTGAGAGTGCTCTCTAAGAACTCAAAACATTCGAGAGTTTGGAAAATATTGAAAATTGTCGATTTGGCAGGCGGGCAGTTCGAAAGGAGGTATTTATATGCACATTTAACCTACACTTTCTCTACACTTAATTGAAACAATAAATTTTGATAAAAAAATTATGTAGCAAAATTATGAGTACACAGCCAATAATAGTGCAGTTGATAAGAAATTACAGGCCCATCTTAGTGAATATTGATCGATTACTTCTGTAGTTCATCTCATCGTCTAAATTTAATGTTCTAGAATAAAAACAGCATATTAGACAGTTGTCATATAAAAGCGAAACAAGATGTTTTTTATACAAATTAATTTGTTTATTGATTATAACCAAAAGTTTGCGTCTTGTTTTACTTTAATATTTATTAGTACAACTTTTTTTTTATTCATTTTCACTATTTAAAAATATATTGCACCCAAGAGTGGTTCGACTTTGACATCTTTTTTTAATTCAACAAAATTTTGATGATTTTTGGATCGGATAGATTCGTAAGATCTCCGCAAGATCCGAATCCAAGCGTGCGTACGTAGCCGCATGATACATACATTCGTTATTCAGTATTGCTATGGCATGCGAATCAAAGTAGGCGAACTAAGAAGAACGAATTTGCGTGCGTATTATATATGTATGCATCATGCGGCAGCGTACGCTTGCTTGGATCCGGAAATTGCGGAGATTTTACGAATCTATCCTATCCAAAAATCATTGTATGCAACAAACATATTAAAATAACCTATGAATTTTAAAAATCTGTCAGCAATATTACTTTTAATTTCCATCTAGTTACCAATAAAAACATACAATTATTTTTAAAATGTTGAAGTTGAAAAAGAGTTTGAATAAAGTTAAATTTAATAAATCAAGTGAATAACTGATTTATAGTATAAAAGTTGATATATGTTTGCCACAACAACAATCGAACTACCCAAATCGGTAGAAAAAAACACGCAGCATGTCGGTTGTTCTTCGATGCCAATATAGCCGCAACAAATATACAAATACCCCTCAAAGAAGGATCCAATTGTCTGCCAGATACATAAGATGTATAATATGCAAGTAATTATGCTGATTCGTGGCTGATCCAATGTGTAATAATGAATCATAGAACCGCAACGAGGTGTGTGTGCTCTCTCAAGTCGAATGAAATGAAGAAACACATTCAACAATGAATGTGCTTTTGTATCAAAGATTTTCTTTTTACTCCCTTTAATATGCGCAGCAGACAATGCACGATAGATTCTCAAGCAGAGATATGACCACATTGCAAGTGCTGAACTAAAACTGCCACACAACGTAGAACGTACTCACATATAGTAGAAGCTAGGGGCAAATCACGAAAACAAATGCATCATTTTTGAATAAATATGCTGTGCTTTCAATGAATGCAGCAAATGTATCGCAAATTCAACAAATGTTGAGCAAATATACAAATGTATCACAAATGCGGCATTGTTGGCTTCTAGATGGCTTGTTGGAAATGGCTTAAATAAAATTGAACTAATTAACTTCAAGTCGCTTCAAGTATAAAATATTTAGAATTTTAACTTTTTTTTTCATTTTGTTGTCCGAAATATTAAAATTATGCTGAAATAAATATAATATTACTAACTTAACCCAACTTTCGCTTTGCAAATGTTGAACGTGGTTGAACGTAATAACTTTAAACTGTCTAGTGGAGATGGTAGTGAATTCGCCGCGCAAATAAAAGCTTTTTGACATCGGTCGATTTTTGATATCGGTCTGGTTTTGACGTTTGATGTAAAACAATAACAAATATGAAGCGACAATAGCAAATGAATAAATAACAAACAGGAATAGCGAATAAAGAATAATTTTTTCGAATGTTTTTGTCGAAAAAACTCGGGTAATTTTTATGGTTGCTTTGTAATTGTTTTGTGGCAGACCTTGTGTCAGTCTCATTTTCAAAGCATACAGTTACAGAAGAAAAATCGAAAAAAAGTGAACATAATTAAAAAAAAATATATAGTGTTTTATTGACAAAAACATTCGAACAAATTATTCTTTATTCGCTCTTCCTGTTTTTTATTCATTCATTTGTTATTGTCGCTTCATATTTGTTATTGTTTTACACCAAACGTCAAAAACAGACCGATGTCTCCACTAGACAGTTTAAAGTTATTACGTTCAACCACGTTCAACATTTGCAAAGCGAAAGTTAGGTTAAGTTAGTAATATTATATTTATTTCAGCATAATTTTAATATTTCGGACACCAAAATAAAATAAAGTTGATAATATTAAAATTCTAAATATATTATACTTGAAGTTAATTAGTTCTTTTTTAATTTCGTGATAAATGAGATATTCTCATTAGCTGCATTTACACAGTCAAGTATACAAATGTCGTAAATCAGGGCAAATATTTGCAAATGTGTACAAATATTAAAAAACTTGCAAATATCTTTGGAAATACGCAAATTTTTTGCAAATACAGAATATTTACAAATGGTGATTTGCCCCTAGAGTAGAAGGATGTGAGAAATAGAGTGAGACAGAGATGGATAGAATGGAAACGACTGATCCGCACGATGTTTCGCGCACATTTATTCACATCCACTTTTCGTACATGAATGAAATAATATATTACTTAGCGTTTAAAAGCAAAACCGATACAAACCACCATAAACCAAATACAATGGCGAATAAATAAAAGCCAACATCAGTTTGTATGAGCCAGAGAACACGGAGAGCAAAAAAATGAACGCGGCACAAGCATAGAGAGGGAGATAGAGAGAATTCAGCAAAAACGAATGGCAGAAAAAAAGAGTACACGCTGAAAAGCGAAAAGATAAACACCGAAATGAAAATAAAAACGTGCACAACAACTCTATATGGAGAACGAAGAGATTGGAACGACTATGACGGCGACGAAATAAGAACAAGATTCTTGTTTAAATGCTACCCCGAAATAAAAAAAAAACACACCATAGAACCGGCGAACATACATTACCATGTGACTTTATGTGATCGCATGTAGCATGTATTCCAAGTCTAGCAGATTATAATTCATATGGCTTGGCGCGTACAAAGCACACGGCTCTTCATGCCTCACTATAAATAATGCCTGTGTGTTCGCCTGGAATTTCAGCTGGCTTTTGCTTAGCATATTATTTTAAGCATTTGTTTTGCCTGGTTTTTGTCCTTCTCTCTTGCTTTCGCTCTCTCTCTCTCTGTCTCTCGTTGCGGCCGTTCGTTCATTCAATTTTCATTGCACACCGAGTGCCAGTTTGGCTTGCCATTTTTTATTCGCTCACTTATGTGTATCCGATCCGGAGCGCATAAGCGTATATATGTGTTGTGTTGTGTCTCAACATGCAACTCGTTGGTTTTTGTTATAACCTGCTCGGTTTCCGAAAAAGCCATATGTATTGGTCCCGAATTATGCCATCAAAAATAAGAATAATGCCTTCCTTTGATAACCAACAGAGGTTTCTCTCTCACACATACACGCATATGTGCATATTGTGTGAGCCAAAAGACAACGGCAAAAATGTTAAACGCTTGTTATTGGGAAAGAAAAAAATCAAAAACAAAAACCGAAAAATTGTCTACAACTTTATATCGTAAGATCTTAAGATTGCATGTCGTGGATATGAGCGACCATTCATTTACACAAACTCACACACACGGCTAAGATTTGATTGGAATGATACTCTCTCGATGGCATTTTTACAAGACGATCCCTTATTAATATTATATACATTCACCGCATACACGAGGTATACCGATTGGGATATTTAAGATTTTCGGTTTTGTCGACATTAGTTATTTATGCCTGATAGCTTGCTATATTTGTTTGTTTGATTTTCTCTCTCTTTCACTCTCTATATTTCGCATTTTCAGCCCCAAAAATTTCGCCAACACCAAAGCTCTTCACTTGAGCACATATTCACAGATTGAAATGCTGCTCCAAATATATATAGATCCATACCATATATCAATTCGATGGTAGCATTTCAACCGAAACAACGTATGTTGTCTCTCTCCCATATCGTATCTCGTTCGTGAAATCACTGTTCGACAAAATTTTTAAAAGTCGGTGCACTGGAATAGTTTTTACCTGAAGTTTGTAGCTGAGAAATGACTACCATCAATTTTCCTAGGACGTCATTAGTTGAAGTTTTGATGTGACTCCATGGAGATTTTTTGTTTTTGGGCATATTTTTCCGTTGCTTCAAACAAAATTTATTGTAGTATTGATAAATATTTACATCAAGTGCTGCAGCCCTAACAGTTTACTGTATAAATGACCCTTAAATTCGTCTGCGATGTCTCTAATGATATCATTGAATTAAATTTGGCTCCAATGCATTGAAGCGAAGAAGAATAAAACAATAACATGGCCTCATCCAATTAATCTATCTAGTTTTTATTTTAATTTTATCATTATACGTAAACATTGAAATAATCTTATGGATAATATATTTCAGCACAAGAACAATTGAAAATCCGGTAACAGCCAAAAGGAACCAAACATCCAAATTGTACAAAACATAAAATGGTAGATCCACAGCGGCACATTTTAAATGTGGGGCACCTTTATTCTTGGCAACATGTTCAACCCAATGTATCGCTGTTTCAAGTGGAGATTTCAACAAATCTCGGTATCTTTTCGAAGTTAAGTTTGCCTGATTTTCGTATCTATATAGACAGAGTTTGAAAAAAACATTGTAATTTTTAATTGTAATTTAATTATTTAAAAAAAATATCAAAGATCAAACCTTGTGTCTTGCACAATTGCACCAATGGCTGACTTGATGTTTTCCGAATTCAATTTTTCAATCGGAATATTTAGTCCGTAGCCTTTGTTTTCAACTACCTGCATGTTCATGTGTTGATCGCCAAAAACTGATATTCCAATTACAGGTTTTCCATAATAAACGGCTTCAATTATCGAAAGCAATCCACCGTGAGTTATGAATATCTTTAAATTATGATGTGCCAGAATTGATTGCTGTGAGAACCAAGACTCAACAGTTACGTCTGCTTCTTTGTGCGATGGAATCACTATTTTTTCATCACTTTTAATTAGAATGCGCATATTTGGATACGCCGAAAATGCATTCAAAATTGCATCTTTTTTATGTTTTGGTAATTTATTAAACAATACATTTGAACCAAGGGACATGTAAATTGCACCATCTTTTGCTTGATCCAGAAAATCTTGAGTTTTTTGTGACAACGGTTCTGGTGATTGTTTAATATGCATGCCGCCAACTTCAATCATATTTGGTGCGAGAGGTAGTGCTGTAGCATATGTAACGTGGGTGTTGATTAAAACTAACGATACATTTCTTTTGATTATTTCTAGAGACGGCCAATTTTTGGAATTTGGAAAATATTTTTCCATAAGCTTCTGATGTTTTGGTCTTAAGTAAAGTGGCATTGACACATCCTCAAACCAATACGTCAAAGAATTGTACATTCGTTGCCACAATGTCATATGATTCGAAAAGGGATTATTCATATATGGCACATATGATGCGAAAAGTGGCGTTCCAACTAAATGTGTTGACCACTTCGATACGGCAAATGGAGATATCACTATTAATGGTGCATTGAAATGGTGACTTAATCCAAATAAAGCTTCAATACTATGTTCAACAATAATCACGTCGAAATTTTGCTTAATTTTCAGAAAGTTCTGAAAGTTTGGGCTTGAAAGAGCGGATCTTGCTATTTCCACACCAACATCGTACCATTTCATTATGATATCCCAGAAAAATTTATTGTTATATTCCATGAAATTGTCGTTTGTATAATCTAAAATAGAATTATATTTATTTTTATAGTCGTCTTGGGAATATTTTGATAATTAGTTAGTCGACTAACTTAGTACGATATTGACTGACTTTGATTCTCCAGTATGAAAATCTTTATTTCAGTTATCTCTGTAACTTAAGTCAATATTGTCTCGAAATAGTCGACTCGCCGAAATTGTTTCTTTTCCATTAAAATATTTTTCAGAATTACCAACGGAATTTTCAACGGGTGACTCATCGAGAAACACTTCTTTATAGTTGTTGTATGAATTTTCGGCATGAAATGGACTGATCACTGTAACATCATGGCCTGCTCTAGCAAGTCCTTCCATCAACGCATTGCCAACATAAAAATGCGATTTCATTTTTACTGGAAATACACCCAAGATTTTGTATGCTTTTGCGTTAGCAACACAAAATAACACAAATACTGCTATCAATTTCATTTTCAGTGTTGAACAGCTAGTTATATAATGATCGAATCATCTGTATCTTTTTTTATATAGTTTTTTTATATTTTGGGCTCCGTTCACGCTATGAAATTAATTAAACAAATTATAAATTCTTAATACACGAAATAACAATATTGTTTTCAAAGAGATTTTGCCACTTTAAAAGACAATTGACTACTAACAATAAATTTACCTATTCAAATTCTCTATAGGCAACAAGTGATAAAAACGATTTTAATCAGTTCATTGATAAGAGCTTGTGCTTCCTGGGATTGATTTCAACAAAAGCAAATTTGATAATGGTTTGAAGATAAGTCGCGTCAAAATATGAGATTAAACATGTTTGGAGATACCTAGGGAGATACTTTGTGTGGAATAACACGAGTCAAATTTAATTAAGAAATGTGGAAATATTATTAAATCTTTCTCAAATCGAATTCATATTTTTTGCAAATTCTAAATTTTTTTCTATTTTCTCTAATTCTACAATTTTCGTTTATTTACAAGCAGCTCCGAAAATCTCCGAACTTCACTTTAACTATTCGACCCCTTGGTCAGAAGCTATGTACTAGACTACTCAGATAATAATTTTCTATTAAAAATAAATAGACTAGCGTCACAACCACAATTATTGGGTAACAAATACCCCATACTTCCAACGCAAAGTAAAACAAAATCATTTTAAATAGCTTCAAGTTCACTTCACTCTATCTTATCTGCTTGAATACAAAATCTTGATTAAGGTCAAAATTTCTTCAATAAAACTGTGAGCTACTACTTGAATTTTGGGTACGAACTTAAAATTTCGTTCATTTTGTAATCTTTTAATTGGTTTCAAAGTCTTGATATGAAATCAATTATTGTGAGCAACAATAACAAGTAAATACACATATTTCATTAAGATATGACTCTTTGCGAATATTGCTACTTTCTGAATGAACTAATACTTTCATTTATCACTAAATACGAGAATATTCACGAATACTTTCATTTTCATACGCGAATACTGGAAGAATGATTTCAGTGCAAGAAGTTTTAAAAATGTTGTCGAACAGTGTAATTGGGAGAAAAAATAGTGTAAAACCAAAATTGTGCCACCGTCATAATCCATACACACAGCTCATCGGGTGTAAGTGTGTGTGTTTCATTGTAAAATGAAAAACAAATGGCAGAAAGTTCACAACCCTCGCGATTTCCAATTTAACAATGCGTCTAGCGTCTACCATATCCGCCTTTCCGATCGATTTTCCACACCAAATTCAAAAAACACAATAATAATAAATATATCTCACTGTGCATAGATCGAAGAATAATAACGAGATAGATTTTGTTGTTTTTTTCTTCCACTCGACGCTTTTTTTCTGGCATTTTATTATTACTATATATCTTTCGTTTGGTGTTCGCGAGTACGCGCCATCGATAATGGTTTGGTTGTCGGGTATGTAAAGATGTGAGCATTTCTTTTTCACTTTCAATGAGAGTCTCTCATCCTCTATCATCGTCTTGGCTTCGTATTGCATCCACAAATAGCTGAAAATATTCGTACTTTTAGCACTTTCGACGAACGAATCGTCGAAATGGGAACTCGTTCGTCTAAATTGTCAGTAAAAAGATACAAAGCTCTAAATACACGCGTTCTGCATACACTTGTTTAAATAGCGAACATTCAATACGGAAAATCTTAAAGGGAGCGGTGGTGAAAAGAAAATCGTGCATAAAATAAAAGCTCTTGAAAAGTAAATGTTTTGTTATTGAAATTTTCTCCCATTGATTATTTATATTCAATAATTTGTTGCGATTTGTTCGTTCAATGCTTTTTCTCTGATTCACGTAGTTTTTCAGCTGCAGATGAAAATGTGCTACTATTGCCGCTATTACTGTTGTTTTTGTTGCTCCAGTGGATTTTATCTTATTTCCCAAGTATTTCGTCTTATACAACATACACTGGGGCTTCGATTTTTCTTCTTCTTCTTCTCTATCGCTGACGTTTCTTAACCAACATGAAATCTTTGTTCGATATATGTATGCCATTCCACTTAGCAATTGTTATTTATATCAACGCGATTTGGATCCTTCGCGTACACTTCACATATTCACTTTTTGCTCGCTATTTGAGCTGGCATTGAGCAATATTTATGTGTATCTGTCGATTTGCAAAGCATTTTTCGGTGGGGAAGGGCGATGGTAAAAAAGCAACAACAACAAAAAATATCGCATCCCGCCTCTTTCACTTCTGTTTCGCAGCCACAAATTCTGCATGCTTCGTTTTTGCATGAGAAAAGAAGAAGAAGAAGAAGGAGCAAAACGATTCAATGCAGAGATAGCAAAAACGAAGTGCCAGTATTTTAGAAAGTGATGGGGAAAAAATTGATGAATATGTTAAATAAATAAACTGATGGTAAAAGCTTAACATTTGAAATGGAGCGCACAATACACGGAGAAAATGTAAAAATCTACAGTATTTATTGTCAGGTTTTTTTGCACATCTTTTTTCCAGTGGTATTGAAAATATGTACACCAAAGACGAGGGAAAAATAACTTGTTATGATATGTATGTGATCAAGATAAGTATATTTTTGATGCGTACACGGAAATTGTTTACGCGTATTCACATTTTTTTTTTGTTTATGCTTTTCGATTCCATTTCTTTTCCGTTCATCTGCATTCCAGTTATGAGTGCGTGAATGATTTCGATGGGTGTTTGTAAGGCTTTCAAGGTTTTTTTTTCGTCGTTCAGTTCCATCCATTTACTGTGCGACAATACACCCACACCTAAGCACCTATACACTTCTATACTTCTTATCCTGTTATTTGTCAAAAAACGATGTGTATTATTTGAGAGCCGGTTATATGGTAACGTAGAGAGCTTTATCAAAATGAAAAGTAACAATGATTCACGCTTATTCTCACAGCACACATTTAAATACTATGAATTATTACGCGTACGCTTTTTTTCATCTCGTTTTTACATTTGATTGGTCAGCAATTTTCTGTGAACCAGAAGCGAAAAAAATGCAGATCAAGTTTAGTGGTTGCGTATGCTATTAGTATTTTAATATCACAAGCATTTCAACATTAGGCGTTGATACATTGTTTCAAATGGGACAGATGTGCATGAGATCACATTGTTCAAGTGAAATCGAAGAAATTTCGGAAAGCCATAAAAATCGGATGCGTGTGTCGCTTTTTTTGCTCTCGGCCAATTCATTTTCTGGTGTGCATATTTTAAGATGATAGTAACATGGATGGCAAAAGATTCCATTTCCAAACCAACTTGATGTCATGTCATCTTTTCGAAACCTACTTCATTGAATCTTTATGACACATCCATACACGAACAAGGAAGAAAAAAAGGAAAAAAAAAACAGAAAAGAGCTTAACTTTGAAGCCACAAAAAAGGAAAACGGTTCATATGTTTATTGCTTTAATATGCTCTCGAAAATAATAATCGGGTCATTTGAGAGAAGAGATGGTATGCCAGTGGCGAGAGAGTGAAACGATGTATGTGCCATACTTTGCACTCGACACAATATAACCGAAATCTTCTAATGGACTATATAATAATGTTTCAGCAAAACCCATACAATTCCGAAAGAATGTTTGTCATTTATCGGTTTCGTTTATTATCGTCTCTCTTTTACGGGAGAAAAATCGAATATTTGAAGAGATGTCGTTTGTACCGAACCACATGGATAAACATGCGGCATTTGAAGTAAACTTCCAAAAATTGGACAAAAATTCCATCTCTCTCACACTCTCACTCACTCAATCACTCACTTCCTCTCGGTCTCTACTTTTTGAACTAAAGTCGGCGAATTTTATTCGGTCTACGGTTGTTCCCATTCCAAATCTAATTTAAAAGCTAAAAGTATTTCAAGCTCACACAGTGTGGATGCATGTGTGTCGCACATGTTATCGATGGCATGGGAAAATTGTACAAACGAACCATTTGCTTAGTCAGTGATTTGTGTTGTTGTTATACGGACACAATCGTTGCAGATAAAAACCAAAAAAAAAAACAAAACCAATGTCAAATAAAAGGGGAGACAATGACGAGATGGATACCAGCCGAAGCAATAATAATAATGGCAACAACACATCAAATACATCGAAAATTATTAAGTCGTCGTCTTATTGTATTAACAATATGGAACTTTAGATAGATCGCCCACCATCCCAAAACAGTCAAATCAACTTCCATATTCGGCCTCGGTTCATATGTATAAAGTGCCACAAATGCATGTAATTCTTTAAAAAGGCAGTCAAATCCATTGTAATCACATACGCACACACACACACACACAC